TATAAATCGTATAATATAGTTGACATTATTATATTGTGCACGTGCGACGCATAAAATAAGAAAAATATTTTAAAAAATACGATTTTCACAACAAAGCAAAACGGTAACCTCAGAGTATCCTGTGGGAAGGGGTGATTCGACAACACTATCCCGAGGGAAAACGTGTTGCCGTCATCGAGATTCGACATACTATAATACAATATATTATTGTTACGAATATTAACAATCGAAAAAGCAGTTAAATTAGCATAATATTATATTACCAATTATTATTATTTTGTTATATAATTTATGCATCACGAATAAAATTCAATTTTAGATTTCGAGATGAAGTTCGAAATTAATGTTTTTTTTTTAATTTACTTAAATCATTAATATCGTTTTGATCCAACGTTTCGAATTGGATCATCGTCATTTTACTTTAAATCGACAAATAGGGATTTTTAATTTTCAAACCACATATAATGACAAACAATCTTTTACACAAAAATAATTTTTAAAACCAATCAGTAGTTTTATTTGTTTTTGGTTGATGGTGGAGGAGCAAATAATAAAAATTCCTTGTAGCCATGTCTCACGTCCATCCCCTAGTCATATAGAAATACTTAGCAAAAAAAAAAAAAAAACAATAAGAACGAAAGAGACTATAATATCGCCAAGCGACACTATACCTATACGAATATTAATTATTAATTATACAATAACTTAATTATACAGTTATTGTTCTCGGGCTACAGTTGTGCTTCCTAATCTAAAACTGTGTACTTGTATTTTTTTTTTTTTTTTTTAATAAAATAAAATCGAAAAATGTACGAATCGTAAAAAATCAGTAACACGCTACGAAATATTAAGTGGCTACATATGAACTGAATCCCAATAAAACCTTTTAGTACGAATTGAGTTCCTGGTTATTTTGAGGTAAATACTAATTGAGTTCATGTTCAAATACCAGTTAACAATTTTACAAATATGATTAAAAAAAAAAAAATGTTTTATTTTAATTTTTAAATATTTGATTAACGTGTGTAATCTATTATGTATAATTCGCGATACGAATAAATCCAAAATTTTCGATTTATATATGTTATTATATTATTATTTTTACTTGAAAAAAATAAATTAAATTATATCAACGATATCAATTAGATATATACGTATACTATACTCTACTCAAAACAATGCTAGGACTCAAAAAGTATATTTTTCGTTTTCCAATAGTGGACTCAAATGGTATATTTTTTATTTATACCCAGGACTCAATTAATATTTTTTTCCCCGTTCGGATATAGGAACTCAACTATTATACGTCTACGGCAATATCGTAAAACGATTGAATTGTATAAACATAATGTATTATTATTTTTATCTTACAATATTATAATCATTACCTTCCTATATTTTATGTTGTACATACAAAAATGTTTAATGTTTAAAATATTATTAATAATTGTAAAAAACATATTTTATTTATAAGAATTATCATTATGACTTACCAATAGTTTCCGATACGATAACAATCCTTTTTATACGACCGTAAAGTATAATATAAAATTACGTTTATTACCCATAATACTGTTATATTGTTTTAACCGCGTTTATAGTTTACCTATAGATAACTCCACACCCGTAAGTTATTGTAGGATATCGTACCAGTAGTCTAAAAGTTTTTTTTGATTTCAATCGCAGTAGACAATTAATTATATAGGTAACAATCATAATCGAAAATCAAGAGAAATCGCATCGGAGCGGTTTCCTTGACGGTTAGCCGAGAAAGTAATATAACATCAATTTTACACTCGCCTAAAACGTATTTGCGAGAACTCCCTTGAACGCCATGAATCAGGTATCTACCCTAAGTTCAGCTTATACCCTAACACCTGCATATAAATATATATACCTACTTATCCCACTATAGTACTATGTATGTATTATAACTATACCAACCAACCACATTTAATACTTTATCAGATTTTCGTTTATTTTCCATCATTTGTACGACGATAAATTCTATTTCCTCGCGGCCAATGTCGCGTTTTTTACAGTACAGCTAAACGCGCGTAGTTTTATCCATTTACCCTCCCAGCCAACGCACATAAGCATACACATAGCTCAATGGTTCGTCCGTCAGACCATTTATTTTTTATTTTTTTTTGTTTTTCTTTGTCCGTTTGCTGTTTTTGAAACGACCAGAAAAGCGCAGAAAGTTTCGATCATAACTCAAAAATAATACACTCCCCTAGACATCATCATGTTCCTTCGTTCTGCATTTCAAATTTTTATTTCATTTCGTTTCGTTTATACATATAATATTTCTTTATAAATATATATTCTTCATCATTCCATTCAGATTTTTTTTTATTTCTCTACTATATATGCATATTATATGCAAACAACGGTTATAAGTGGATTCGGTTTTTAAACAGCGTATACTATGCATGTTCGTTATACGCCTTATTACATAATGTAATAACACCTGTTGTCGTAAACTAATAATAGTGTTTAAAGGCCGACCTATTGTTTCCATTTATGATTAGGTATTTTCGCTGATTTGATTCATTTTTCGTCAAACTGTATACGATAAATATCACCGGTCCGTTATTTCTCGTAAAAAACGTACAGTTTTATAATCAATATTATAATAATTATTATATTTAGGCATTATACCTACGCATGTCATAATATGGTTAAATATGTTGTTGTTTTTTTATTATTATTGTCACCTGTTAGTAAATTATGATAGGTATTGTGTTAATTATTTTTCCTGGCGTTTTATATATTATATAGTATATAATATAAAATATAAAATTGTTATTATTGTTAATATGTACATATACATAGATTTAAAATATTAATACGATGACTTTGTTAAATAATTTTTGTTTCGGATTAGATTTACGAACATTTCTAGTCAATTAATACCTTAATACATATTTGAAAATGTTTTTGAAAAAAAAAAAAAAATTATAAAAAGAAATTCATCAAAACATTTTATAAATAGGAATATATATACATGTTATATATAACAAAAATTGAAAATGAAGTGATATTATTTAGTTGCATTGCAATCATAATTCGCAGCTGAATTGAAAAAACTCGTGTACGAAAAGAGGGCAGAAAAACATTATTAACAGAAAGCACGTAAGTATAATTCAATATGCATATTTGTTCACGATGTAAATGAAGAAAAATAATTTGATATAAATCGTGATATAACGAATTAAAATAATTAGACCTGTACAGTGCATAATATTTAAGTGTATTTTAAATAAATATAAAGTCATATTGATATATATATATATATATATATATATATATATATCCAGATTTTCCAGATGAGCAACCCTGACGTGACTAGAAAAATATTATAAAAATATAATTTAAATTTAAATCTAAAAAACTAAAATCTCAATTCTCGCTGAAAAATATATTAAATAAACTACATATTGAAAAAAATTTGACCTATTTTACATTTTTACCTTTACTTTTTTTTATTTTTAAAAAAAAATACGATATAGATCTTATTTATACATATTATATATTATAATTTATTAATTTAACTTAGTTTACAAGCATACAGGATAAAACGAAATTTATTTATATTTATTGTGACTTGTTATGAAAAAAAATGAAATATATATATTAATAATTATTTCTAATTTATTAAGAAGTGTCATCAGTTTCATCAAAACTATTTAAATAATATTATATTTTTTACTTGTAGCCTGTACATTTTTATTATATCTACGTACATCATATCCTATTATCTATAAAAAAAATGTATTATTTCATGATTAAACAACAATATAGCTAAATTACCTATACGTTGCGCCGGATTAGTCAGACAGCAGAGTATTTTCGATATTTCATGCTCCGTATATCTTAACGGATGATAATGATTAAGTATAAATGTATAATTTGTATACATTTAAAATCAATAATAAATATTTACACTCAATTAAAATCTTGATTGCAGTGGTTACAAACTCTTTTTAAATGTAAAATTATGTTTACATATAAACAATAATATTGTTATCCTTCAATAATAGACAATTTTTCAATCTCAAGCAAGATTGCTACAACTATTAGTTATTAATACGGCGACAGGTTTCAAAACAAAGTCAATTTAAAAAACTGACAGTATGCATAAACAATTATAATATATACTCATCCTTCTATCTAAAGCGATAAACCTAACCGATGAGGATTTGGAAGGAAGTATTAAAGGTTTTCAAGGAAAAATACGATAAAAATAATCGTACAAAAATATTTATTATATTAACACAATTGCTGAATTTTCAGTTTATCGATAGTATCTGATAAATAAATTGCAACGTAGCAAGTGTATACTTATATAATACGAGTATATATGGGTAAAAAGGAAGTAGGTATATACTTTTACAAAAGAAAGTAATAACTTCTCCAAACTTACAAAAATATAATAATAATAATAATACATTTAAAAATCAATAACAAGCAATATATAAATCCAAAGAATATTATACTACCTTGCACACATAACACTTAATACACCTTATACACAAAATATACAGTGCATTAAAATATCATTAGATAATAATCGCGTTATTTATTGTATATATTATGTATGCATATATTTCATGTATATTATATAATATACATACCTATACAAAATGATGGAAACCATATGTTACAATTTAATATAATAACGTATTATATAGGAATTTATTCGGGATGCAACGTAACTGGGAAAACGTTTTCTAGAAGTGAATACGTTTCAGTTGTAAATTTGAAACCATCCCGCCGACATGTATGATAATATACGATAACGAGGTTAACAGCGGTATCCTTGTATATAGTAATAATAATAATATTTTTACGATAAAACGTGTACCACAATAGGTATAATGTAATCGAATTTAAAAACATAAAATCACTAGCTACCGACACGCATATTACAAAATAAATTTAAAGGTACATCGATGCACGCGCGTCGCCGGCCAAAATCGTTCGGCATGATAGTGAACAACAAACAACCCCTTCGCTGCATACACGCATAACATACCTACTTACAGACACGATTCTTTACAATTCGATTAGATTCGATTCCGCCGTTTTGCAGGCATCATGTTTGTGTCTAGGTGGAGGGAGTGGATCCGTCGGCAAGTTGAAAAATAAATCACTATCGTCTCCATCCGCCACCGATCTATTCGTCCGGCCAATTTTCTTCCCTTCCTCCGGATACATCAAAAGCGGATCCTGCAGCAGTAAAACGTTATTTAGTTTTTGACAGCCAACACGCGGGCCGGCAACCATAAAATCATACATATACATTATAATACATTTATACATTTTGCGTCGTTAAATAAATACTTATAAAATGACCAAACTATTTTATAATAAAAATAGGAGAAATTTCTAACAAAATTACCTAATATTTTAATTTTTTATTTTATACAATCATACATTTAAAAACTAACTGACCATCAAGCATTTCACCCAATCGATATTTATTTAAAATCTATTATTTAGATAAATATAACAAATAAAAACGCTCAGATTAAGTTCTTTTTTGCGTAAATTATATTATTTATACAACAAAAAAAAAACTTAAGGCATTAGTACGTATAGCACGAAATATAACCTAGAATAACCTAACATTACCAGTACTTGGTGTATTAACATACTTGCGTTATAGGTACCTTATTTTTCCTTTAAATATAAACACTCAATGACATACTAACTAGGAGAGACGGATCAAAACCCTAAATTTGATATGAAAGAAATTTTTTGAGTTATATTATTACTGTTGACATCGAATTTACATTATAATTATATTGTTTATAATATACCCACTTGTCTCACATGAATATATCTATACCACAGTCCACAGCCAACCCCACCACTTTAGAAACACCAATTAAACGACAAAATTAATACACCGAGATAGTTTATTTTATGACAAACGGCATATATGTAATATGTATACTACAAGTTCTATACTTGGTTTATAATAATGTTTTATCATCGACAACGAATGAATAGATATACTTATCATTTGTCATGTGTATTTATAGGGTTCAAGGATTTAAATTCAAGTGCAACATTTATTGTTACGTTTTAACTTAATTTTATTTCACAAATCGAACAAAAAATGCGATGTTTTATAATATATACCAACTGTAAGACACGTGCCACTTCAATGCACCTGTTTAACGACCTTTATCGGAAAATATTAATATAATCTGCAACGCACTATACCTACTGCTGCAACATTTTTATAATAATGGCATTTATCAGTGGCATTGATGCATATAGGTACTCGTATTAAACTATATATCGTGATACCAAGATATACATATTTTTGAAAATAATACGTTAGTTTCTCCGGGAGATAAATTTATTAATATTTTACTACATACGCCATTTAAAATGCGTTTCGTTAGATGTTCAAGTACAATCTTATAATTCCTCAATTATGTAACTATAAAAATTACTAACACATAATAATAAGTACGTACTCTTCCGGTAAGCTCCACGATTTTTTTTTGTATCGTCGTCATTCGAGTCCTCATATATTCGTATCTGAAAAATAAACACTTGTCAATCACTGTGATTAACCATAAACTTAAATAAATAAAATGATATACAAATATGATAATACAAATGCAATTAAATCGTAATATTGTAATTTTTACTTCTAATTTATTATAATTTTGTATCATTGTCACATATAATTCTATCAAAACCACTGAACACTGAATATTTAACCAGAAACGTGGTAGTAATTCAACCAAAAACCATTACTTACGCAACAAAAAAAATATTAATATTATATGTTTTGTTCAAATTAAGTCAATATTTATATGACACTTAACTATAATTATCCAAAACTATTAATTGGTTCAGTTAAAGTTTGGTATCCATCTAGTTTTCTTTTCAATTTTTTATTATTTGAATCTAAAATCTTAGTTTTAAAAATTCAAAAACTAGAACAAATTACCCATATTTCTACAAATACAGATATTTAACTCACATATTTAACTGCTTTGTATTTTTCTAGTTTGGCAAAAAGGATTGAATTTCATGATAATGGTAAATGAGTTTAAGTAAAGTAAAATACATAAGTATCGTTTTATTGTTGATCTTAAAAACAAAAACACAATTAAATACAAAAAAAATTGCATTTGAAAGTCCTACCTAAAAATCAATACAGAAATCATTTAACAATAAATTAAATGCTCTCATCATTTTTCTCTTGAGTGTATTAAAAAATGAAGTTTGAAGTTGTTTTTTTTTTATAGTTAAGCTATAAAAACAAGAATTAAATGGCAATTATTGCACTTAACTATTTAAATAGCGATGTATTTGGCCATATAAAATATAAACTTAATTTAAAATGTATTCTTTAAATAATTCATTCTATAGGGTACATTAAATCAGTAGCATAATATTATGAAAACTTTGAAATGTCAATACTATTTTAATTGCAATGGTACAATGAATGAGTAGAAAATTCTCAAATGTCTTAGGAAAAACTGAGCGAACTGTAAAATAAATGTAACCAAGTGTAATTCATAATATAATCTAATCTATGTATATTTTTATACATCATGGTTTATTAAGAAAAAACAATATAATAACATATTAATGTTTTTGTTTCATTTATGTCATCACATATTGAAAAGCAGTAAAAATACTTCAATTTTCAACTTTTGGTTCCTGGATCCAGATGATATTTTAGAAGATGAGAATTTCACAGAACATATCAAAATAATTGAAAAAAAAAACTAAAAAAATTACACAAGTTCATATAATACTGTTTTTAATAAAATCAATTTTTTTTATTTTGTTCTAATTCAAAAATAATATTAAAAAAATAAAAAAAAAATACCTAGTAAATTGTTCAATAGTTTTAGAAAATTATTACTATGATATGCTTAATAACGAGGTACAGTTAAGATTTACTAAATAGCAGAGTAATTTTTTTTAATATTTACCTCTTGAATTAACCAAATTAGAATTTCAATTATGGTTTATAAGTTAATCCTCATATTTCATTTGATAATAATAAGATATTTAGTAGGCTATTACAGAGTATAACTTTAATAATATTATGCAATTGTGACTTTACCAGAAAAATAAAAACATATAATAATAAGACACTTACGTTGAGCATTGAATACATTTGATCCACTGATGAACATGATCCTCAGATTGACTAGAAATAATGTACTTTTTATCTGGTTCATCTTTAAATGAAAGAGAAAATGAAAATAATGTTCCTGGCATATTATTCTCAAGTCTTACAATAGAATTCTCCAAAACAAAAACACCGGCTGGCTAAGAACATATACAAAAGATAATTTACATTATTAATAGAAATAAAGTTTGATAATTGTAAGTAGGTAGACAGGTTAATACATTATTTTCTTTATCACAAACATTAAATTATTTAAACTAAATAACAAATTAATCAAGTTTTAAAAAAAAAAACATTTATTCTATTTACTTGATGTAAATCAACTTGCCCAAATCCATTTATTTTAAAGTAAAATAATAGGTTGTACTTGAGTCGAAACCATCTTTCCTTGAAACCTATAATAAATTATCAATTAATTTTGAAATACTTCATATCATGAAATATACTACTATTAGGTTTAAGAATATAAAATTTCAAAATTAATATATTATTAATAGTAATAAAACAATTTTTATTTTATATATAATTTCTCTGAATCCTTTTTAGGGTTTATGGGTTGGTGAGTGGGTTAGGACTAAAAAATAATAATTTAGTATTAACTACACTGTGTAGTTAAAATATATGACAGAAAATACATTTATAAGATTTTGGATAAGTGGATGGGTTAGTAGAATATTAGGTTATAACCTCTGAAAAATTATAAGTTTCCCATGCCACTGCTTAGAACTACTATACACAGTATAGTCCTACAAAAACAGAAATACAACATGACAAATTATCCTTTAAAATAATGAGTAAAATGATTTAATATTATATTAAGTGTTTGGTAAAATACATCTATCTCAAATAACTGTTTAAAATAATTCTTACTTGAAATAAAAAAATAAACCATATATAATAGCAAAAAAAAACATTTCCTACTAAATCATAGCCTGACTCATACATAAAAAATACTAATGTATAAGTAAAGTTAAGTTATATTTCATTAAATTATATTATTCTAAACAATTAACCGTCTCCTACCTATTACAATTAATAATTTATATTGACTATCTATATTTATCTAATTAACATAAATTATAAATCACTATAATTTAAAAATATATCAATCTTATAATTTTCATATTATACTGTATTATTTTATTTGAATCATTATGTGATTATTATAGTTATTATATTTACACACATAGCCATGTATGTAATACAGGTATTAGGTATACAATGATAATTTAAAATTGTTACACTTCAATTACCATATTCATGTATACTATAACAATTAAAATGGGTTTGAATTTTTTTATTTGCTGGAAAAAAACAAATATCCAAGGGTATAAAACAATTTTAATATTGTTACCTACCTTTAGTTGCATATCCATTGGACAACTTTGCATAGGACATCCGTCCTTCAAGAACAGGATTAGAATGACTAATATGAATCATTTCTTTGTTGTTAAATCGCATGTTGGATCTGTCGTATTCTTTTTGAGATGATTTATTTTATTATATTGATATAATACACGATTTAATCTTTTTTTTTTACTAAAACCAGTTTGACACGAATGGTTTCCAATCAAACGTATTACTAATTAACACAATTAACCATAATTTTTATATTCACTATTTACACAGTTGAAAATTGTTTTTTAAATTTGTTTGTACAACTATACAGTTACAACTTAAAAGTCGAAAACAACATATAAATTATAAATGCTTCACATCACAGTGGATAACCAAAACAGTAAAACGCAATTTAAATGATAACAGATAACGATAAGGGACATGTGATACTGTAGTCGGCCATTTTATGCACGATTTTTCAAATTCCAAATCCGAATTTCGAATATTTGAAGGTTCTACCAAAAACAAATCGATAACCAATGTCCGTATTCAATTGATATTTGCCTGCTGTCTGTTTCTCAAAAGGCTATAATTTTACGTGTACATAAACAAAAAGTAATTGTGACTGTCTATCAGTAACGGATCCAGCCTATACAGTGCCCATATTAACGGGAGGGGCGGATTATTTTTAGGTATTTTAATATGAGTGTATTATACGGTTTTCGAGTATGTGTATTCTGTGGTCGAAAGTCAATGCAAGAATTTAACTATTATGCAGCTTCCAGATTTCCATTAACTGATCAGCAATAAATACTGATATATTTCAGACGAACATGAAAGATATTTTTAAGACAAAACCCTATGAAACGCATTGCGTCATCTTAATCGGTTTAAACGTGCTTAAAAAATAAAAAAGTAATAACCAACGTTTAATAATATACCTACCAATTCGCATAATATATTAATATAGATGGTTTGATGGAAAATAAATCAAAATAAATAATTAGTCCGATTATTAATGAGGTCATGTTAAAATTGGTTGTTTGAAATTAATCCAATGGTCTTTTATTGTCTATTAAATAGTTGATTCTGTAACAATCATCCTATACCATTATATGAGCTTGATGATACAGATCATTTATTATTTTATTAATTTTTTTTAAATCGTTTATATGTACATCGGGGTATACAAACTTTATTTGATCAAAAATAATTTGAATACAATTAAATTGTATAATGCACAAATAATTACAAACACAAGATTGATAGTAAACATTTATTTTATCTAGAATTTATAATATCGTTGAAGTTATATTCGTTTGTTTTAAAACTAATAAGTAATAAACATTTGTTCAAACTTTTTGGAACAAACATTTAATAGTGCCGACTATGATTGATAATATTACAATATTTAAAATTATGTTTTACCTTACACATATAAAACTAATTTATTTAAATAAAACAAATAAAATAAGCATTTTCCCTAATCTAAAATATTTACATATTATTTATCTGGGATATGAACACTTGAGCTCAAGATAATAATATGAATATGGTTTTTCATTTATACTTTTGTAAAAAAATAAAACCACTAATTTGAATGTAAAACAATTTTTCTTATCAGTAGTTCTTCAATAGAATATTTTACATTTAAAATTTTAAACATAAAAATTTTAAATTTTAACAACTCATAAATGTTAGAATGTATAGAACAAAATTAAAATAATAAACTATTTTTTTTTTCAATAACTAATAAAAATACCACCAAATCACAAAAAAATGATATCAACAAAAAAAATATTTTTTTTTTTAAATAGTTATTAAAAATAAAATACTTGTTACTGATAATAATACAGATTATGTTGAAGTTCATAACAATTGAGACCTTAAGACTAAATACCACAAAAATGTTATGAACATATACTTTCCAAACAATACCATAATTAAATCAAATGAATATAATATACTATGTAGTCAATAGCCATATTATGAGCTCGCATTTTTTGTACTTCTATTCCAATCATCGTGCAATGATTTCATGTCATTGAGTGCCTCCGTAATACGAATAGCAAACCTATTAGAATCCTGTAAAATATTAAAAACCGGTTAAAATGAAAACTGATTAATTAAAATTATGTAAACGCACAGTATGAGGAGAACTTTTTTTGCTTGAGATGTGGAAGAAAACCAAATTTTCTCCAGCTATTATATAACTAACACCATATCCATCATTGGCTACAGGACCAAATCCACCTCCAGCAGAAATGCAATTAGGATATTTCCTTAAGTCAAACTGAGTAGTCTGTCCATGTGGTGTTTGTGATGTTGACAACCTCCATGGTTCACTCAATACTTTCTATGAGTAAAAAAAAAAAATGTATAAATTAATTTAAATATTAATAGACTTCTCAAAATTAAACTTAGACATTCAATCTTTTTTAGAGACATAAATACAAAATATTCTTTGGGCTCTAAACACATCAACAACAATGGTCACAGAAATATATTATGTATGTGAGTAGTAAGACATATTATGTAGAAAATAATTTTTGATTTTAATTACATTCAAGAATGGTGATTCAACTTCTAAATACTTTGAAACCACATATAAACAAAACAAATGTCTGTCAATTCCTTTTCCACACATTGCATCTTGATAACCTCTTTGATGAGTTGCACAAGCTTCTCTCAATAGATTAATACGTTTGTTTACCTGTACACAAATTATAAATTTAAATATTTAAATTAAAAAAATAAATTTAACTTCATCAACAAACAACTAACATCAACATTTGGATCCAACATCGATTTCACCCAAGTCGAAGATTCTAAAGTACAGGGTCTCACAGTTTCAGTTCTACCTTCCCTGTATAATCTTGTCATTGATGCTTCGTATGTAAGACTAAATTTACCAGCATCCTATAATCATAAACATCAAATTATTTTATTAGATTTTATTTCAAGATAAATTAATTTAGAATAATTATGTTTTTAAAAAGCAATTGTAAATTACTCTATAATATGCCAATTGAAGTGCCATCTGAATAAAAGCATCTGGACTGACTTTAGCAGTTTTCATGAATCCCTTACCATAGTCATTGAACGCCAAAATACGCAAATCAATATCATTTACTAATGCTAATGAGACCTAAAATAGCAATAATACATGGTACATTAACTGTGCAAATAAAATGTATAAAAATATTACTTGATATGATTTTTCAATAGCTTCTAACACTGGATCTAAATTCCATTGAAGCCTTATAGGTTTTGGAGGTTCTAATTCAGGAGCACCTTTAGTGTGTCCATTTTCTTGATATCTTTATGTTTGAGAAAAATAATATTTTTAATTGATTTTATCAATAAAATATTATTATTACATTCATCATGGTAAATATTATAAAGCATGTACACTATAAAATATTTAACACATGAGATGTTTAATTTTGTCAAAATGTATGCAATGATTGTACCTATGATATTTAACCATAATCCATTATTACTTGCATATATTATCATTAATAAAGGAACCCATCCATCATTAAATTACAAACTAAACATAGCAAATATTATAAAAAAAAACAATATGCGATTTTTTATTATTCTTTGGATGGCACTTTCTTGTGATACAAAACTACTTTATTTTGTAAAATATTACAATCCTATTATCCAAAACAAATTTGCTTACTTTTTTATTTTCACAAAATATCTCACTTTTATTTATATTAACAAATCATATTGAATTTTTTGTGAATTTTTCTAATATGTATTATGAATGACCACATTTGAAAAATAAAAAAAGAAAATAAAGAAAAGATTTACATACGCAGTAATCATTTGTAGTATATTTTAAAGGCTGTACATTTTAAATATTGAATAATAATAAAAATAATAATAAAAAGAATAATAATACTGTCATCAATGCATTGCAACAAATGGCAACAAGAACAAAATTGGTAATTTCACAAATAAAATTTTAAATTAAAAAAAAGGTCATTAGCAAATATTTATTAAAGGAAAATGGATTTTGACTGTTTTTAAAATGTTGATAAATTTAAATCCTTTTATGTTCTGTCATTACATTATTTCGGGCTTCAGATAAGTGTAATTTTAAATGATGACGCAATGTTTTTAATCCTGCCATTTTAAAGATCCTCAGAAACATTCTATATTTTGAGTATAGACTCTACTAGGAGGATTTACAAAGATTTTGCTATGGTTTACTGTCAAATGTTTAAAACCAGATTTTTCAAGTTTTCTAGATTTCTATGCCCGCAAACAATCTGAATAAACTATTGTTTCATTTATTTTATATTTAATGATATGTCATTGAGGAATAAAGTAATAATATTGGTAATGATAGATAATTGTAAATTGTAATGCTGGTATGTGACAAATGGATATCGTAGATATTGTGATAGTCGCAATAACGGAGGTAGTCTTGAGCGATAGTCAGGATAATAGCTGTAGTCTCATATGACAAGAAAGTACTCTTTGTATTAATTTAATACTGATTGATATAATGAATAATAAATAATGATGATTTACAATACTCAATAATAATAATTAGTAAATTGAAACAAACAGATGAATCGAATATTGTTAAACATTAAAAAATTATGATTGTAATAGAAAACAACAAAATTATTAAAATAATCACATAATAATTATGTAATTGGATGGCTTCCCATAAAATGACCAATGTGTGCACAAATTAGTAAATGATAATGAGTTAATTTATTTATTTATTGTATGGATTATTACCCCACAACTAGATCGCCGCACAGAAAATGTTCCCATAAATGACCCATAACCGGTGCATCTGCCCTGTCATCAATGAAAACAATAACCAAGTTATAAAACTAATAAGAAGCTGTCTTACCTATTGTTTATCATAGTCACAATATTTAGATAAATTGGTGAAATTATTAATATGATAATTTAATTATAATGTTTTGAACTTGTAGTTAATAATTATTATAACATGCGTTTTTAATTTACCATAACTAAAAATTTACTAAAGTTGTTTCTTCAAAGAAGTACCATGACCTTAAAACAAAATTGCACAAATATTCCCAGCAAGCAAAATTATAAAATATTGTACAGAAAAAAATCAGGTTTTATTACAGTAAAACTGTAACCCATTAAGTTACCCAGATTTTTCTGCTTCATCAAAAATGATGAACTCCCAAAGATGAGACATAACCGCGGCATCAGCCCTGTAACAACGCTTGTTAAATGCAAATTCAAAACAATATTTTAAATTTGAACTAATCATTCAAAAATCATTCAATTCAAACATTTACAAAACATTATAAAAACATACAAGACTTTCAAATTACTCATCAAATAATAATACTGTAAAACACTCACCACGAATGCTCAGCATTGAAGCCCACCTATAAAAAATATAGACATTTTAAATTTATTTAAACTACAATATATTTATAAATAAACATTACTCTTCCATTTGATCCAATGCATAAAGTAAATGATTTATCAAACCATCGGTCATATCCTTTGCCAGTCATTAATATTCTTCCAAATTCATCCAACTTTTTTGAATTTTCCTAATTAAAAAATGATATTTTTTAGTTCTAAACAAACAATACATACAAATTTAGAAAGATGTAATCATATTATATTCTGTATTACCTCACCTCTCAAAAAATAAAATCTCATTAATCATTCAATATTAAATACTTACAGGGTCATACTCATAAGGAACCTCATCTAATGTAACTACAAAAGCAGCTTTCTCAATAGCATCCAAGCTTTGTCTGTTTATGCCCTTAAAAAAATATTGAGTGCGAGTATTTGCCCAATGTGTTCGATCAGCAGCAGTTAAAGCGGCTACTTTTTCTTCTCCAGCATATGGTTTTTCTGTGTTATCGAGAATTGATTGTATTTGTCTAAATTATATAGTATATATGTATTTATAAGAACATCATCAAAATAATTAAATATAAAAAGAATTATTACTCTTCAATTTCACAAGGATGAAGTATACGATTTTGACTATAGATAATAACTTTGAAATACCGCCCAGCATGATACACTACAATATGTCTACTATCATTGTAGTGAACAATCTTATCACTTACAGCACCAGGAACACGTGTTGTATTAAATATCCTTTCATATTGCCATGAACACAAAGGAACTAATCCTTGAATTCTTATCTACATAGTATAAATACTGTTAAGTATATTATTGCATTATATTCATAAGAAGCATTTTTTTTTAATACCGGTTCAAGTTCTTGACGTTCAATTAATCTTCTATACTGTAAACACTGCCAAATTATCATGGCAGCACGAGCAGCCTGAATAGATGTTGAATGTAACATTATAGCATCAATACCATAAAAATTTGAATTGACTATTAAAGGAGTTCGACTTCTTAGATACACATATTCTTCCCACCAATCTGATACATAATTACTAGACCACCTGTTAAAATCAATAGATTTTAATTTTTAATTTGTCAACATTTTGTCAAAAATACTTATAAATGATACTTAATGATAAATTAATTTTTCTTTTAATAACTAGAAGTTCTATTGTACACAGTAATAATCATAATATCAATAAATAATATTTATTAAAATTGAAATAGTTCTAGATTTAAAATAGACAATATTTATACTTTTTTAAATGTAATATCTATTAAAAATTGTGATATTATAAATTACTTTTACTTTAAAAAAAAAATTATAAATAACTTATGATTAATTTTTTTTTCTTTTTTTTTTTTTTAATATTACAAAGAACAATTTTTATTGCTTGATAAATAATAATAATATACAAAATATTAAAGAAGTGCATAGAAACATTATGCTAGTGTTTATAAAGAAATACTTATATGTGAAAAAATTATAAATGTTATTAGTACAAGTGAATTGTGGGAAATGAGTATATAATTACTTTATTGTATATTTTAAATTATATTTTTTCTTTTAAAATTCTATGGTTTCTTGTAACCAACCATACACTACCATTCAAGAACCGTACAGAACAATATTATCATAAATAAAGTTGATGTGTAAATGGATTGTCCCCCTGAAAATGATTACAGTGGATAATTTGTTTATTTTAACTAAAAGAATATTTGTACAGTATTTATACTTTATAGTTAATGTATAATCCTATAAATGATACTGGTAGATTTATAGAGTACACTTCTTTAACTGATAAATAGATAAAATAAATTTTTGACTATAAGAAATTATCATAGTGAAAATAGTTTAAAATACTAATAAATTGAAACACTTAAGAATTTATTTTTGTTTATCAGTATCAATAAGCAAATGTGTAACACTAATAAAATATACTTTTATTATTTAACATTAATAAATAAAATGATAGACATGATTATATATTTTTAATGACAATAAATAATTTATTTGAAACCTCAACTACAATGGAGAAAAATAGTATATTCATAAAAACCAAAACCATAGATTAGGTTAATTGCTTGTTTTTACACAAATCCTAAAACTAATTTTATAAATAAACTATAGGTACATGCCTATATTGTAAAATAATACTAATTACATAAGAATTTATTAAAAAAATGTACTATAACTTGTTTGAAAAAAATTATTAGATGATAATCTTGTAATTATAATTTATGAAATTATATTTTTTTTGGTTATTTTTATAACCCTGATAATGCAATAACAATGATGATATGTTAATAAATTATAGAAGAAACATGAAATAAATATAATTTATTGCAGCTATTATGGACCATATCAATAATATGAGAAACAAAATATTTTCATTTGATAAATGTATGTTAATTTTATTGCATTCGTTCTTTAATTTAAAATATTAAAACATTTCTAATGATAACAATATCTGAAAAAAAGATACCTTTCCCCCCTTCCAAATGGAAATTTCCTCCTTGATTGCCCACAATTATATCACTGCTTAATTATATTACTAAGTATGAAACATAGCAAATCCATATTATAATGTATAATATAATATATAATTTTATCAATGAATTGAAAATTTAAAAAGATAACTTTTCCAATTTCTTGATAATTTAAAAATTATAAACTGTAAGCAAACACAATTTTAACAATACCTTTGAGTATTTATGGTTAAACTCAACTATGTTTCAACTATTTTAGAATGCAATGATTCATCATTGCTTTTATATTAAAATGAATTACTCTAACATACACTGAGCTTAACATACATAAACCAATCAACCTCCTCTCATCTATATTCTGATTAAACCCACTTTTTTTTTAAATTTTAATGCTATCAAATATAATTGAGGTCATTTATAAGAAGATTCATAATAGTTATTAGTTATAAAACAATTATTACATAAATATATAATTATTTAACTACTAAGTTGACAGCTAAAAGATAAAAAAAAAAAAAATAAGTAAGTAAATCACTATTAAAATAAAATTAGGTAATAATAAAAATATTATTTAAATGACTCATAACATTTATAAGAGAAATAAATAAAAAATATATACCATGATTTCAACCACAAATATCGCTGAAGCTTAACTGCAATACCTTTTTCAAATTCATTAGCTAACTTTATCATACTTTCATATTCTGAATCGTTCATTAATGGACGAACACTTTTTAAATACTGTAATAAAAATATAAGATTAATAAAAATGTCTAAAGAATTAAATATGTTATTATTTATTAGTTATTTAAAATAATTACTCTTTTCATAGTTTCATTAACTGGAGGCAATGGAAGTTTTGGCAATGAACCTTGATAGCTGTAAAGTAATGGTTTACTTTTTGAAGAAAGTAATTTTATGCCTAGGCCCCAAAGTTTGGTTTTTAAAGACACTTTATGTCCTCCTCTGCTTTCATACATCCATCCTGAATGAGCAAATATATTAATATATATGTCTCAAATTATGATTCCAAATTATTACCTTTATACATTAACATGAGTTTAAATGTGTATCTTATGATGTAAATTAATATTAACCAAAAAGTTAAAGATAAAATAAAACAAGATACTATTTGCCACACATAAGATGTCCTATAAATTAAAAACATAATGATTTTAAATTATATTAAATTAAAAATACAAATTATAATTCACTTACCCAGGTAAATATTGTAATATAATGTCTGTATATTTAACAAAACTATTATTGGCATAACGAAGAGCAAGCACAATACCCATCACAGCCCAAAGACTTTGTAATGGAGCTGGAAAAACTCCATTGCGAACATTGTTCTAAAATTTTTAAAAATAATTTTTAAATTAAAGAAATTTTAAAATTTTATCACACTTTATATCTTAGTGACAAATACTAAAGAATAAAAAACATTAAACATACCTTAAACCTGGCTAAACGTTTTTTCCAAGAACGAATTCCAGATGCCCAAACTAAATGGAGCACTTCACGATCAAAATTAACATCCCAGCCTTCGTGGGTAATTGAAAATGAAAATGCAACTGCTGAATGGGCTTCAGCCATGATACTTAAAAATTTAAAAAGAATATTATAATTATCATTTGAAATATTATAAAAAATATAACTATACAATTATTATATTCATAATATGTCCTACTATTGTTAAATATATTTAAATTTATCAAGTATTTATCTATCCATAAAAATGTAATTGACACTTAATTTATTTTATAAAACTACATGTATTGTTTAATTTTTACAAAACAAACTTAATTGTCCAATATAATTAACTATAGTTAGATAATAAAGTAAATATAAAATATAATTGATTCATCTTTTAAAAATAAAAACAAGGTAAACAACTTAATCCAGATGAACCAAACTTGAATTTGGTTTAACTTGCCTAATGCATTAGCCTTGTAGTTTTATCAAGGTTTTTTCTATTTATAGTTTATTTGTGTATAGTATGTACAACAATTTTTACTTCCTTAAAAATGAAAAAAAAAATATTTTTAAAATTTTAGATATACCCACATATTTGATAAAACTTTAAAACTTCTACATTTTTTTTATAATCTAATATATACAAGAATAAAACATTACTTATAATAATACATTTATATATTTTTTAATTTCTTACTTTTAATATTTTGTTTTTACAAAAGCAATAACATAATTATACAAAAAAAAATAGGTAAATATATTATATTAGGTATACTAAAATGTATAATATATACGTATTAAGCCAACTATAAAATGAAATACTTGATATAATCTTAATTAATTAAATAATATAACGAAAATGTCATTATATATCTTAGGTAAATACTTAAAATAGTTAAAAGTATTAAGTATGTGCAGTATTTAATAATTATATATATTCTTATACCAGAATAATATTCATAGTTTTTCATAAAGAAAATTGAATATAATTAAATTTGTATACATTTAATCTTATTATAACAAATACCTATCACTACTCAAGCATTTAATGAATAAATTTAAAAAATAAGCAAGTAAAAATATCTAAAATTTACTCATTAAAAAATGTAATAATAATCAAACAAATTGTTTATTCATTTGCTATGCATTTAAATCAATAACTATTTCAAAATTATTTAACATAATGACTTTGAATGAAAGCAAAATTTAACTGTCTATTACAAGCTACTAATTTGTAATAAATTATTTTTTCATAGTTGTTTATTCTTGTTTATTTTTATAATTTTACTATAAACTACTCTCTTTAAACAATAAGCTAATTATATACAAAATTAGGAATATAGCACTAATCTACATGAAAAAAGTAAAGAAATTGTTAAGTATAAACTGCTTAACAAAATAATGTCATATACAATAAGAAATCGCTCAAGATAATTAAAAAGCAAACTAAGTACCTAAATGACTAATCTATGAAAACTAAAAACAGTAGAATATATTATATTACCATAAAATAGGTCACCTGTTTGTTATGTATAGTACAACAAACAGAATTTTAAATATTAACAATCGACAACCAGTTTTAATAACATGCAAATTAATTTGGTCTAGAAAAAACAATTGGCTTAACATAACATGAGCATATTATAAATATGCCATATGAATTATGTTTGAATTAAAATTAAATAATACAAATGAATTGATAGTATTTAAATAAAATAGTGACATTGATTTCTTCAAATAGTAAGTAAAAGTAATAATGATTAACTTAATTGGTCTACACAATTACCTACCTTTGTTTTTTTATTATTAAAAATAAATATATCAAATTTGTTCAATTAAATGACAGCCGCTGTTATAATAACATGTGTAAGTGAAGAAACAATTTTTTTTTTATAACAAAGAAATTGGTTGAACTTAAATATACAACAATTAAGTTACAAAAATATCACGGTTTTCCTGAACTTTGAAGTTGTGCAATATCTAAATAATTAGCACTAATATTTATTACATGCTTATACACATCTTCTAAAGAATTAAAAAAATTCAACCGTTTACGCAATAGTCCATCTTAATCGACAATGTCGAATTAAATATAATAATGAAACACGCATAAGACTAGATGAATCAAAATTGCACTGTTAGTTAAATATTGAGAGAAACATAATTACCCTGAACGTATTCACAGCACGCCAGGAGATTCAATTGTTCAACGCAACAGTGTTAGATGACCATAGAAATATATTTTTGTTTATTTTCTTCTGTCTGTCTATCTCTTCCAATGAAGAACGATAAAGTGAAAGTAAAAACAGCAACGATAATATTAAATTCCAGTGAGCGAATGCAAATCTAGCGTATTAAAACATCAACGACGAACAGGAGCGTCTGTGATACTACACCGTACAACGATAGAGAATGACGAATACTGAAATAAATTATTAATGTCTGATTACCGATCAAGTGTCCAAACATTAAACAATAATAAATAATAATAGACATACAGAAAATAAAAAAAATGTAAGATAGTAGTTATCACTTATCAATAATAATCAACGTTGTCCAAATTACAATGATACTATCTCATACTACCTTAGTGTACTTGTGACGCCATCTGTGTCAAACAGAAATATTATATAATCATTTTTTACCTTCTAATGTTCTGTGACCCTGTGGTGTGTTTCGACTAATCCGACTTCAAAAGTCATCGGAATAAATGCTAGAACAGTAATGGATGTAGTCTTGTTTACAACTAGATTTTGAAATTACGAATTTTTAAATGTCAAAAAAATTACTCAATGCCTACTGGAAATTTAAAATTGCTGCCGCCACGCGAGTATGTGTAGGTAGGCATCATGTTATATTTTCGTGAATATGAACCTTTTGTTTTTTTTAATAATATAAATATTTATTCAATTAATACTTTTAAAGCAAAATTACAGGATATAATAAGGAAATTTATGTATTATACAGGCACCTGTATATTTATTTATAGAATGAGTAATGCATGTCTTAAAATCCATAAATTTTAATATAAATAAAACTGAAAATTGATGATATCGTTACCTAATCTTATCTATAATATTAATAAGTGTGTATATACTGAGCATCAAACAAAAACCTAAACATAACCACCCATTATATACAATACCACTTAAATAAAATCTCCAACTGAACCAAAAAATGGAAAATCAAGTTAAATTAAAATTAATCAGTCCAAATAAATTTTTCTCTTGGTAAAAAAGAATGTCTACAACTATCACTCAACAATGTACAAATTTCTATTAAAAATGTAACCAAATATCTAGGAGTTGACCTTGACAAACGATTTACCTGGCCCAACATACCAAACTTAAAAGAAAACAATCTAACACACGCCTACATCTCCTTCGTCCGTTACTGTCTTCCTCAATGAGTTTAAAAAATAAAATATTAATTTACAGGGACAATTATTACCCCTCTCTGATCATGTGGTATCCAAATCTGAGGCCAAGCCAAACCATCTAATATAAGACCTATACAAGCCATCCAATTGATATGTCTTAGAGTCTAAGACTTAGACTCTTAGACAAATAATTGGAGCCCCGTGGTATATGACCAAAAATGCATTACACAAAGGTCTACAAATTTCAACAGTCAATAAATTAGCAACTCAACACTATAACAAGTTCCACTTAAAACTACATTCTAACCAAAACCCTCTTATTTCTTGTATGTCCTCTATAACCATCCCCAGAAACCCTGCAAGGAGATAAAAAATAAAATGGCCAAGAGACGCTTTTGTCTAATAGAAAAAAAAGATCTTTTTACATGAACCTATCAAATTAAACAGGAGGTACTGTTAATAAACGGTTTTCCCCTCTCAAGCCAACAAAGTCTTCTTTATTATTTATATATTATCAAATTTACTTTTTATACTTTTCTGTATAGATTATAATTTATAAATATGCTTTAATAAATAAAAAAATATATATATTAAGAAGAGATTTCTAGATTCACGCTTGGTAAGTGGTATTACGACCTGCCTCTAAGTATCTTCGATATTTCTAACCGTCTATCCATAGTGTACCTACCCATACTGCAAACTATCTATAATGAGGTCTCGTGTCAGGTCCCCGTATGTATAGTATAGTTCCATCAGGAAAAACAATGGTTTTGGTAATGACGACTATAGGTACCAAATATCATGCATAATAGTATTTGGTATGCTAGAGAACTTGTTTCCTTTTGATAGTCATTGATTTCGACTGTTGGACGTGTGATTTAAGATTAATTGCTTTATTAAAATAATATATAATTAACACTAGGTACTCCATACTGACCTAAGCATGTTTATGTTTTTAATTGCCTAATTTATTGTGTTGCCAGACCTTTTCGCATGTAAGTTATATCTTATATGAATAATGAATATGTGTATAATAACTATAATAACTTACTGGGTAGGTACGTAAAACTCATTACCATTTAGGTTTATGTGATGAATTATTTTTTTTTTAAATATGAAAAAAATAGGAATAATATTGTTATATTAACATTTTAAATATTATTATAATACATAGATGTACATATATGTATACTACTATAGTAGTAATATAATTAGTACAAAAAAATATTAGGTAACGGCGGCGACGCTTAGATAATAATATATATTATCTAGGTACGTATATAATATTTATCTATATGCGTAATATGACCACGACGTACCTAATGACGTAATAACGTCATTAAATATGAAAATATTTGTATCTCACGTCTTTGAAATATAATGTGGAAGTTTACGATTAAGTTGCTTAACTGCGTGTCCATGTAAACATGTTTTGGCATATTTGTGAACTTTATTGATTTTTTTTTAGGAGATATAACAAACATATTACATAATTTTACCTTTATTATAAATATCATATAGTATTATAATATTGGCTATTAAACTTATTTTCATTTTAAAATTATTATTAAATATATCATACAAAAATATTTATTTGTAATTAGACAATACATTTAATGTACCTAAATTTGGTGTGCATTTCACACTTAAAAATCATAAATCGAATGCACTGTCAGCTATGTAAATGTAATATATGGGTAATAATATTATATGCTTTATAATGATATTACATTATTGGTAAAATTATCAAACAATACTATGTATAATATAAATAAATACTATATTTTACCTATTTAATTTAAACATAATATATTCGCACTTCATGTTCTCATAAAACAAATAATATAATTTACAACTAGAGTTTGGATGTTTATAACTTAAAATTATCGTAATATGTATGCATTTTTGCATTATAAAATCACCAAATATGTAATCAAAATATGCCTTAAAAATCATTAAATATCTTTAGATAAAAAAAAACTGAAATATGCATAAAAATTTAATTTTAATTTTACATTTAATTTACAATAAAAGCGTTACACTGTGATATAATAATTTTTTAAATTTTATCAAATTTACTGTTGCATCCGTTATTCGAATGTAAATTTTTGCAGCATGAAAAAATTTGTTTTATATCTACTGATGTTATTATTGGAATATATTTAAAAAATGCAAGATCCTCAACCTTCAAATCTTCTTCTATTTCGTCCATAGACCATAGAATCCATTTTACCGGAATGTTTTTAGAAATCTGCCTCAAAGTTTTAAATCCACCATTATTTTCAATTAAATTCTGAAGTTTTTCGTAAATACTTTGTCCTACTTTTCCATTGGCCATTTTTAGAATTTATCTAAGATTATTGACTACTATATAACTATTTGTTTGATTTAAATGAAGCTAGTTCAGATAGTTCTAATTTAGTTATGTTGACTTGTATTTAAATAATTTTTAAAAAAGATTTGTATCTAGGTTAACATTAAATTGGGTAAATAGAAAAAAATATAGAATTTCATAAACATTTGAGCCTTAAATTTATTACGGTTATTATTGACATATTATAATATTCAATGTTAGAATTAATAAAATTACAATAATTATGGGCACCCATTGGGGAGGGAAGACGGGGCACTTGCCCTCCCCTTAAAAAATAATATGATCCTGTAATAAATATTACCATTATAGATATTATTCAATTATCTAGAGAGCATACAATTTTTTTTTTTATATCACTATAGGAATTTGAAATAATATATTTATATACATAGTCGTATTGATAACTTGGTTGGTATACGTAAGACTAATTACAAATTAAATGTTTTTAGTTTATATTTAAAAAAATTATTGACATATTTTGCCCCCCCCCCCTTCTTCACTAAAATTGAATCAATGGGCGCCCATGACAATAATTCATACATATTGACAATTGTTCAACTTAACTAGAAATTATACAGAATTAAAGTATATGTAATAACTAATAAGTATCTACTTATTACTGTAAGAGTATAGGTAGGTACTAGGTACCAATAATATTTATTTGTAACATTACACATTGACTCCATATAAAATGCAGCATGTGTAAAATAATCTTTTCAATCTGTTCTAAAAACTGAAATACATTTGTGCAAAGAATTACCTTGTTTATAATAGCAATGCCTCGTAACTTATACGTATACCTTATATTTACGCTTTGTTACAAGTTAAATTTGTGTAAATAAATTTTTATTAGTCGCAGTTAAACAATACATCTTAATATTTTATATTTTATTTTCATATATACTAACACACAACACACTGAATAAGTTGATTGATTTTTTATCGTAATCCGGACAATACAAGGCATCTCCTTGACGACTCAAAATAGTGTAACTTTTTTTCAACTTTCAATACAATAATTATTTGAATAGTATTGTACTATTGTAATAAAACGGAATTGTTCTTAAAAGTAAAAAAAAAAAAAAGTAAATCGTAAAACATTATTATCTAAGATAATAATTCCAATGATGCTTGTGCATTTTAGAATAACACTAGCTGAAAAATAGTCAGTTTTAATGAAGTGATAGAAAAAATTCAAGTCTTAAGAGCTATCATAAAAACGTAATGGTCCTGCATGCTGTTTTTTATTTGATAAAAATGCATAAATAATTGAAAAAACCCTTGGTTTCGAGTTTTATTAAAATTTAATAAAAATTTTAAATTTAAATTTAATTTTTTCGAAAATTTATTAAACACATAGCTAGATTTTGAAGTAATATTGCTTATAAGCAATAGACTTTCTACTACAATGAGAAAATCTATGTTTGTATTGCACATAATAAAATAGTTGTAACCTTTTGAGCTAGTGACAGCCTAACAATTACATTCGAATAATCGATACACTCTGGGGCAGTAGCCAATGCTACGTTGGCTGCAGGCTGTAATAACGTAATAACGAGTAATGATGAAAAACAGTATGATAATAGTTAAAAGTAAAGAAATAAAAATAATATAACTTTGGACTAAATTGTTTGTGTAATATACAGTGGTAAGAAAAAATAGGAAAAATTTTACCATTTTTAGAGCATATTTAATAATTAATGATACATACGAGTATATTTATAAAACAATTTGAAAAATTGATAGAAAAAAAAAATTAAACTTTATAATGCATATTTATTTTGATGATTCTCATTAGGTATTGTGTTTTTCAAATCCCTAATTGACATACAATTTTCTGTTTTTGTTAATAAATATTTAATACGAATTGTAAAAATTATAAAAATTGTGAATAGAAAAAAATAAGTAAATATTTTTACAGCATATTTGTACTTGAAGGTTTGTATTTATATATGAATATTTGTACTATCATAAGCGCATAAGCTCATAAGTGCATACATATTTAGTACTTTTCAAATGCATTAAACTCCAAATTCTACTAAATAGTAAATACTAATAATAAGCTAAACTGTTACATCTCAATGAATATGTATTAAATGTTATTGTCTTAATATATGATTAAAATGTTCAACTCATAACCTTGAGAATGTTGTATTCACAAGTATATTATTTCCTCCTAGCTAACTAAAACCCATTGAGGTATAATAACAACTAGATAACTCAGTCGCTATTACATTCCCATAAAAATACGTTGAAATCGATACAGCCTGCAGCATATGTCAACAGGGCAATATTTAAAAAATACCTATATTGATAAAGTGATAATAATACAAATTAAAAATATATAACACAACTGTAAACATTGTTCTGTTGGCATATGTTTACCGACTTTAAATTAATATCGTGTAGTTGGTTATTTAGTGACTATTTATTTTACATGTCTCTACTAAAGTCTAAAACCACAACAAATCTTACGTTCAGAATAATCCGTTTTACTATGTTGTTTTTAATATTGGAGTACCTACCTAATTTTATTTGACTTGTAATAAAATTTAAAAGTAAGAATATTAAAATATTATATTATTATATTCTATTGTAAGAAAAATTATAATACCTACAAAAAATATTGATCGTATAGTTTAGATACCCACTCCCTTTTCAAAAGCATGATGCTTGTGCTGAAAGGGATAGTTCGATTTTTAAAAACTACAATTTATAGTTTTCTACAATTATAAATATTATTTTAAACTTAAACTAAACACATAAGAAAAAAAGTAAAATAATTTTTTATAATTATTATTAATATGACATGAAATAATAAATGTAATATTTACAAATATTTTAATACATAAAACTGAATAACAATACGTTAAAAATGTAGTTTAAATAGATATATATATTTTTAATAAACAAGAACAAATTGGAATCTAAATTAATATTTATTTAGCAAAGCCCGATTTAAAAATGTACTAAATCAATTATAAGATTGGTTTGACCTTTAAAATCATAATTCGAGCCTCTGTCAAACCGTACAGCTTTCCTTTAACTTGTATTTTGAAAATAGTTTTTCATAAAAACCTACTTGTGAATGTAACATTCTTACTGAAATATTAACTTTTAAACTCAAAGCTGATAAATTTGAATCAAAATGTATAATATATTATTATTATCAAAGCATGTATTTTACATAAATAAACGTAAAAAATAACTCATTTAGTTATATATAATATATACAGTATATTTTAATAAACGGGTAGACTGTAAATAGGTATAGGTAATATATTCTGTTGATAAATATTTGATAACGGATATAACAATATCCGTTAGTTTCATCGTTAAAATTATTGACAATCGATACTTATATCTATATGATATGTATAGATATATTGTATATTGATATTATCCAGGTGGAATGCATAATAAAGACTTAATTTCCTACGGTCGCGATCTGCATAATTTAAAAAGAAATAATATTTGTTTACATGAGCATAATATAACAATTACATTCATTAAAATATTACACTGAATATTAGAATTTCATACATAGAGATGAAATGTTAAAGTGATATTTTTTTCTCTACTTTTAAGTACAATAGCCAATAAAAGTAACTATGTAAAATAGCTAATCATATTATTTTGTATTAAATTTCCAAATACACCACTGACATTTAGCTGTGCATATTAATTATAAATTAATGGATGACTTCAAACCTATTCTCAATTCTCATCTACCAATTTTTTTCTTTGGTACGTAAGATTTAATCAAATATAACATTCTATTAAAAAATAATTATATAAATGATAAATATGTATATAATTATTATAATTGTATAATATTATGCACAGTTATGATATAAAATATTATAATAATTAATCAATACTCAATTATGTTTCACTGACATCTGATCCTCATGAATATTTCTGCGGTTTTCAAGTAAAAAGTATTAAATCTTAAATGATATTGCAAAAATACATGTGAACATACTGTAGTACATAATTGTGTATAATTGGATAACTTTTTTACTCCTTAAATATATTACACTATGAAAAAATTTTTGTTTAACAAAAACTTAACTCTACAGAATAGAGAAAAATCAGGATTTTATACCTGAGAATTATAACATAAATAATATATAGCGTATAGGTAATTTTATAAATATATAAATATTATAAGAATGTAATACTCTAAAACATTTATAAAACACCATGTCGATTTAATTTCAGACATATTTATACATACCTATATGTTGTTAAAAATTATCAAAATCTTTACTCAAGAAACAGTATGCATATGATCTATAGTACCTATTCATCTCGATTTTCTATCAACTAAATCAAATTTGCAAATTATAATAATATTACATAATAAAAACATATAAGTATCTACAAGTATACTATATAAGTGATAGAGCGAATATGCCTGTGAAAAACTGAATTGTACAATATAATACATAAATAATCATATATTATTAAATTATATTATAATTTGGTTGGAATAATTTTAGAATAAAAATATTATACAATTATGTCATATAGTTTTAAAAATAAACTCAACATTTTTCGGTTTGGGATTACAATATAGGTACCTAAATAATTAGAGCTTTAGGTATCTATCCTTAAATCTAATAACTCATATTAATATATACATCGACAATAGATAGTTAAAATAGTTATATACCTATATGGCTATATATCATTGTTTTTTTAAATGTATGATTTATATATATACACAAAATAATACAATAAAAGTATTATATATCGTTACCCGTTAACCAATTAATCTTTATTTTAAAGTCTTTATACTATACTTAATATTTGTATTTTTTTTTCTATGTTTTTATAATTTTTGCAGAAATAATATAACATTGTAATTGAATTATCTGGACCGTTGCGATTTTATAAAGTGTAATTATTTGAATTTGTATGTTCTAATAATTGTGACAGTTTTGACTGTGTAATGTCAAAATGAGTATAACTTGACGTTTCTTGTTTTTGACATTCTACTCCGATACGGTTCTACAGCTAAAAGTAACGGAAATACGACTACTGGTCAGAAGTTCTTGGAAGTAGGATAATTTTAAAATTTATTATAAATAATCGGAAACATTCAAAAGTAAACATTATATACTACTACACTAGTCACGATTACAGCTATGAACGTGGATAGATCTTATGGTATTGACGATTATCAACCATCCAGAGGCAATGGGTAAGCAACAATAATAATAAATTTTATAAAAAATCTAAATAATATATAGTTTTAATTTATTTGCTGCTAGAAATAATTTTTATAGATAAATAAAGTATTGACTACATTTAAAATAAATTACAAAAATATTAATAAATCACTAAAAAAATACAGCACTTATACTCGTATTATTTTGTCATTATTAACTTTCATTATTTATTATGTTTAAAATAAACAGTATTTAACAAACTAAAATATAATATAAATATCTATATATAAAGTACTAAAGGAAATAATATTATTTATTCAACAATCCAAATATTTCAAACCATCGATTGGTTAAAATTAAGGCAATGATTTTTTACTGTTTAGCAAGCATTCTTAGAAGCAAAATTCATATAAATTATTTTATGGTTAGAAATAAAAAATTTTTTTTAATTTTGTGCCTAAGATTCGAAAATTTAATAAAAAGTCCTTTATAAGTTTTACAACTTATATATACAAATTCTACCGTAAAGCCAAATTAATTTATTAGGAGCATTTAATTTTAAATTTTACATTATTGAATATTCACTCTTAAAATAATTATTTCTTCTTAAAAAATGTTTTGATATCTTGTTGTATTTAAAAAATAATAACAATAAATACTTGATATTTTCACCAAATGTTTATGATATAATTTTAATTATACGATAATATATGTTCAAAGTTTTTAACTTTTTTAAGTTATTTATAGCTTGACAAATTTTTAATTTTTTTTTCTTTAATTATTCCATAATTCTTGAAAATTGAGTATAGAATTTCATGCCGAAACTATAAAATTTAAAACTTTTTTTATAAACAATTATTTTTTATAAACGTTTTAATTTCAAATTTGGACAAAATTAATTATTTTGATTTAATTTAAAAATGTTTACGTATATTATTAAAACATTATGATTTTTACTATACGCAATGACATTTTAAATTTATTTTAAGATATTATTTTTTTACGGCATTTACAGAAAGATTTTATTACATTTTTAATTTTAAGTTAGCTGTATAATAAATTAATATAATATGGTAAAAATATATAAATATTAATAATCAAATACTAATAAAATAATAAATATAATATTTCCGCAAAGAATTCTATCAATTTACTGTAATTAAAAGTAAAAAAACATGAAATATAGTTTTTGATTTAGACTGATAAACCATTAAGAATTCATTAAGAATCGATATATCATTGAATTTAAATTTTAACGTACCCTTTTTAGTCCCACCGATACCTAATTTACAGAAGATCGATAACCATTTGCCTACCTTTTCTTATTATATTTTTGTAAAAAAAAAATATAACCGTCATACTTGGTTTGATCGATTGTACGTATGACATGTCAAATAAATGTTTTAAAATATTGGTATAATAAAACATTATTTTTTGGTCATATTTTATTTTTAAATGAAACATAATGTTATATATAATAGTAATGTATATATTTTTTACAGTTTAGGTTTTGGCCTAGAACCGTCAACATTTATTTCGGTACTGGCATTCCTAGCGTTCCTTCTACATGCGCTATTAATACTACTTATACCAACTCTAAAGTCGTTTTTTACCGGACCTTTTTTTGGCCATGGGATTGGTTATAGTAATGGATTCGGTGGTGGAGGATTCGGAGGAGGGCCTGGATTTGGTGGTGGAAGTTATGGAGGTCTGCAAAACGGAGGCTACGGGACCGTCAGTGGTTTCGGTTACGGGGCCGTTCCGTCCATATTGGGTGGTGTCAACAGCATATTGGGTACAGGGTTATTGGGCACGACAGGGTTATTGGGCACGGGGCTGTCTGGACTATTTGGTCCTGGAGTTGCAGGCTTAGGGGCCGCTGCGCCAGCGGCTGCGGCGTCAACACCGCTGGTTACTCGAGGTGCGAGTAGAAGTAGAACAGTCGACAAGAAAAACAAAACGTGGATGTCTGAAGATGAAACGCAAGTGAGTTAAATTTAAAAAAAAAATGTATAATTGAACTTATATCTTATAGGAACCAAGTACGCGAACTTACACCGGATGAATACAGATATGTCATTATTATTATTCCCCCCCCCCCCCCACATAGTCTAAATATTACTAAGCAAATTTCTGCTTCCGTAAACAATAACATATTTAGGCATATCGCATATTATAGCCATGTGAATATGAATGTTTATACAACTACCGTTATTTTCAACATCCTCACACTTGCTGAATATAATATTATCTTTGTAAACAAACTTAATTGAATGCACTATGTACATTGTATACAATATTGTATTATTGCATTAATATTGTATATTACTTACACATACATATATTTAAATGTAAGGAGAACACAATGTACATAATAAGAAAATGTATAATTTTTCAGGTTAAACCTACAAATAATGAAGTAGACGAGTCGACTGGACGAAGTATGAAGGCAACCAGATTGCTGAGTAAATGCAATTTTTACTTTTGTTTATTTGGAAAAACGAAATTTGATCATATGTTAGTGTTACGAGAACGTAAATGATAATATTATATATATACAATATATTATATCCTTATAAGTTATATCACGCCGACACCATGTTGGTCCTCATACATTCATAATACGAGTATAATAATAAAAACAATTTTATTCATAGTCACGTAGATACTTGAGTTGTCACTCGTCATTCATCAACTATGCGTATAAATATATATTTTACTCTGCTAAAACTTTAAAACTTACTCAATTATTTTAATATAAATGTCATTAGACTTTTGAAATATTTACATATTAACTCTATAATATGTATAATAAATAATAATTTTTCAAATCAAAATGTAATAATAGGACCATAAACCAGATATAAATATTCTATACATTTCATTGTATCATACAATAAAAAAACACTTAAGTACTAAATGTAATTATTGATGACGTTAAATATAAAACAATTGAGTAGATGCTTATAATAAATTGTTATAACAATATACTTATAAATAACTTAATAAGTTTATAACGATAATAGCTGGATTATATTTATTAATATAAGACTTCTCAATGAAATTAAATTGAATTAGGTAGACAAAAAAACTCATTTTTAATAATTCAAATCCAATTTTCAATTTTAAATCACAAATAAAAAAAGTTTTAGACCATAAAAATAATGTTTGTTATATATATATAAAATTATTAAAAGTTAATTACAATTTTGAGTGCTGTAATAACTTATAATTTGTCGTATGTTTATAATTGTATTCAAAGTACACGTTAAAATTAAAAATCTATCCTAAATTATATTATTATTTTATAATTAATATAAAATATTGTATACCTTCCTCAAAACCTAAAATTTAGTCTATAATTAACAAAATATTTACAGAAGAATAGTTTATTGTAAAATATAAACGAGTTTAACTTATAATTTATATTAAGATTATAGGGGGTGTTAAGTTCATTTAAAGGTGAAAGTTATGTGTTAATCTATATGATATATTAAGTTAAATAAAATGAATCTTTGTTAATTTAGAATAAAGTTATTTTTTTTTTAATATTATGGTAAAATTGGTACATTATACCTATTAATGTTAATTGTAGCATAATTATATAGTGTGCAAAGTAGTAATCGTAAAAACTGGATTGTTGTCTGGTGTTAATGCACTACTAATTTATTATAAAATAAAACCATTTTTTTCTCCTAATAAACCGTTTTTATTTTATTTTCATATCAAAATATTAGGAAGAAAAGCAGAACCACGTTATTAAAGAAAAAATTATATATTCAACTTTAAAAACTAAATTCAAACAAATTATATTTTAGGTATTTTTAGATTAAATATTTTCTCTGCAGTCACCACCTTTTTTAAAGCAGCAAAATTGCTTTAAAAGGTAGTTGCTGGCAGTAAATTGGATCTAATATTATTTTAAGGGATGAAAATTAAAAAAAGTTCCAATTAATTTTAAATAATCAGGAAAACGTAAACTTTTACATAAAACCGGTATTCATTAAAGACAATTTTGTTTTTTAGATGTTACTTTAAAATAATCAATTGTATTTTTTTTTTTTTTTTATAGATAATTGAAATGTTTGCAAAATATTTTTATTAGCATTTTCTACATAATATAATTTTTAAAATATTCTGACTACTATTTTTGACATTTTTGATTTTTATTATAATATTAATAAAAAAATTGTATTTTGCTTACTTAAAAACTGGATAATTGAATATAACATTCTTAGTAACTTGGCTATTTAATGAGATGATATTTTTGCTTTTATAATGTTTAGATATTTATCAAGTGTACTAGCAATTTAAACAGAAAAATTCCAAAATTGTGAATGTTTATTTTTATGCTCATTGTTTTAATTTATTGCTAGTAGATACATATGAACTTTTAGTAAAGATAAAAATTCTTTTTGATTTTTTAGGAATTATTCAGTTAACATGTTTTTTTTATTAAAGGAAGTGTAGTGTGGCATACGGTATTGGAAAGCATATTTTTTGAGACTAAAATTAATTTAAAATTTTTAAATCCATATATAATACACTGATATTAGATGGGCATGAAGACTAAAGAGCATATGCAGTTATAGCAATCAGCATAACTACTTAGCATTAATTCCTACACTAAAACAAATTATGAATTTATCAAAATTACCAAATGTATGTGCTAAAGACTGTGGATTATTATACCAAACTCAGCGCTTTAATTTTATATAAGGTTTAAAAATGATGGACTCAAAAATACAGTTAATCAATAGAGTAAATAAAATTTTACAAAGTAAAGACATAATGACCTACTTTCAGCTATGAACAATATAAATGCTTTTTAGTCTTAATTTCAAAAAATTCAATCAAAAAAATATTTTTCGACAATTTTTAAAAAAATTCTGAAATAAGTAATGTTCATAATAGTTATAGGTATATACATAATAGTTACATAGTTTAATGATTTATTAGTATATATCTCTCAGATAAGTGGTAAATATAAGCATTACATGAAACTAATCCATAAGCACAAATATAAATATTACAGTGTGACTATTCCTATCTTTCATTAGAAGGGGTTTTTTAACTTATTTTTAATATTTATTATAACTAGGGCTCGGAAGTTGTAGAAATCGCATATTGTTCTGTATGCTCTTAATTTATAGCATACTAAGCTAAAAATCTGAACTGTACAATAGAGAGATAAAAAATTGAAAATTGAAAATGCATATTTTGTGTATTTTGTCAATTTTAGCTAAAAAAAGTGCATATTTCATTGATTTTATACGCATTTTATGTATATTACATATTTTTCTAAAAATATTGATTTTTTTCTCTAACTTGCACCTGCAGTATATTTCAATTAATACTGAATATAAAACTCAAATTTTTCAACAAAAGATTTATCGTAATTTCAAAAATACTGGAAAAATATTTTTAATTATATTAAAAACCAGTTATAACTTTTTTCCAGTTATATTACAGTTTTTATGTATATTATTTTAACAACATCTGATGTATTTTTTTGTAATTCAAGATAATTTTTTTCGCATATTTAAAATCATTTGAAATTCATATTTTATAATTTTTTTCTTGCACATTTTGCCTTTTTTAGCTCCTACAACTTCTGAACCCTAGTTATAACTATAAAAAGTTTATTTAGTTTTGATAAAACATTAAAATACTTAAAGATTAATGCTTTAATAATTAAAAGTAGAGAGTTATTTGATCATTTGTATTTCGTTCACACACGCGTTTGGCATCTATTAATTAATTTTATTTCATAACCCCCCAAAAAAATAAATAATATAAATACATAAATATCTAAAGTAATTAAATTAAAACATGTCCATGGGCAGTATTAAAATAATGCTGTGTAATAATACTGTTATAAGTATAATAACCTTAAACTTTATTTTAAAGACATTTGAAGTTTAAATTTGAAAAAAATAAAATATTTAAGCAAACAATTACGATTTTAATTTATTTTGTCGTAGTAATTAAAAAATATTATTCCTGGAGACTTGAAACTTTAAGCAATATAAAATATACTTGGCAACATATATTGACCTATATTTTGATTTAACCTAACCTAATCTTTGCTAAGAATCCTTATTCGTTTGAAATTGATTATCATTGAATTCAAATATTCAACATTTATATTTCATTGAATTAGTCAATAAATAAATTATGAGAAAGGTACCAACTGGTTAAATACTTTCCCACTTTTTTAATTTTTCATAAATTTGTTTATATCGAAAGAAAATATACGCGGACTTAATTAAATCTAAAGCCTTAAAAGTAAATTTCCCTGTAATTTCGAACAATATAACAGTACAGAATCGTGCCGCCGACTATGTCCGGTCCAGTAATTGACAATAGAGCCACGTTCAGACGCTAAAAGGAAACGTACTTTATTAATAATATTAATTATTATAATTTATAAAAGTACAAAGTTAGTTATTATAGTACATCATTTTTTTCGCATTACTAGATCTGCTCGCTCCTGTTAATAGTTTATATTAATTGAAAATTTTTTACGTATTATAAATTAACATTAACAAATATTAAATGTTTATTTTTTAAATAAACAATTTAAATGAAAGCTACATTAGCTCTAAAGAGCGTAACATAATGACAGCTACAAAAAAATTGTATAAATATATAATAAATTATTATGACATTGTGAATAATATGTTAGACATTATAAATAGATCAAACTAAAAAAAATAGACACGCAGCAGAAAAAAATAGTACCAAACATCAGCAGACCGTATCTGAAACATATTATATACCTACTTATCTAATGTATTACTGTATATCAATAAATAATTAAATATATTACTAAATTAACTTTATCAGTGATTATACCACGTAAAGACCATAGCAGGTATATCAACTTATGAATGGTTACGTAACATCAAAAATTAATAAAAAAAACTACATCAATCATACTATAAAAATATAAAAACAAAAACTATATGTATATAACTATTTTCATTGTAAAATAAATAAGTAATAACACTATTTCGTTATTTCTGTCTTGATTATTACTTGTATTTTTACGAAAATATAAGAATAACATGTACCTAAAGAAACCGCTACCTAATGGAACCACCACCAAAAGGGATTTTAGGAGAGTCAGGCTGTCAAAACTAGGTACTCGACATTAATTCAATAAATTTACAATAGGTATGTAATATCAAATAAGTATACACTATATGTTGTGTTTACGGGACGTCGTACGTTCATAGCTTCACAAAAAGAATGAACATAACTTAAAAACGATAGTACAATAAAATTCTTAAAACCAAAATAAATCATCTTTTTTCATTGATTATTGATAAAAAAAAAAAAAATTAGGGAAATTTATCCGAAAAAATAAAAGTATCAAAAGGTAAAATTAAAAAAGTGCTCCGACCGTTCTCTAGAGGAGGTGTTAAAGTGTTAGAAATTTTACAGAATTATAATCAGGTAAACGAAAATCTATTAATTTTGTCATTACGGAAAGTTTAAAAACGAAATTATACGAAAATCAATCAACTGGTAAGTGGTAAGTATTCGACATTAGTTCATACCGGCTTTAATTTATTAATTTTTATAATAGTTAAGTAGTATCAAATATGAAATAAGTGTATATTATGCACGTGCTTAGCAGATTGGCTCGGGTTGAAGAAAGGGCATGTTTCTCAGGATCATTGTTGTTTTTATTTTCATGGCGATAATCTAATAGATACAGATTATAG